TCTTTCCCTCCCTCGGCCTCCTCTCCTCGGCCTCCTCTTTCCCTCGGCCTCCTCTTCCCTCGCCTCCTCTTTCCCTCGGCCTCCTCTTTCCCCTCGGCCTCCTCTTTCCCTCCTCGGCCTCCTCTTTCCCTTGGCCTCATCTTCCCCTCGGCCTCCTCTTTCCCTCGGCCTCCTCTTTTCCCTCCTGGCCTCATCCTCCCTCGGCTCCTCCTCCCCTCTCCTCCTCTTTCCCCTCGGCTCCTCTTTCCCTCGGCCTCCTCTTTCCCTCGGCCTCCTCCTCCCCTCGGCCTCCTCTTTCCCTCGGCCTCCTCTTTCCCTCGCCTCCTCTTTCCTCTCGGCTCCTCTTCCCCTCGGCCTCCTCTTTCCTTCGGCCTTCTCTTTCCCTCGGCCTCCTCTTCCCCTCGGCCTCCTCTTTCCCTCGGCCTCCTCTTTCCTTCGGCCTTCTCTTCCCCTCGGCCTCCTCTTTCCCTCGGCGGCCTCTCTTTCCCCTCGGCCCTCCTCTTTCCCTCGCCTCCTCTTCCCTCCCTCCCGGCCTCCTCTTCCCTTCGGCCTCCTCTTCCCCTCTTCCCCTCGGCCTCCTCTTCCCCTCGGCCTCCTCTTCCCCTCGGCCTCCTCTTTCCCTCGGCCTCCTCTTCCCCTCTGGCCTCTCTTCCCTCGGCCTCCTCTTTCCTCGCCTCTTTCCCTCGGCCTCTCTCCCTCGGCCTCCTCTTTCCCTCGGCCTCCTCTCCCTCCTCTTCCCCCTCGGCCTCCTCTTCCCTCGCCTCCTCTTTCCTCGGCCTCGGCCTCCTCTTTCCCTCGGCCTCCTCTTTCCCTCGGCCTCCTCTTTCCCTCGGCCTCCTCTTTCCCTCGGCCTCCTCCTCCCCTCGGCCTCCTCTTTCCCTCGGCCTCCTTGCTCCTTCCCTCGGCCTCCTCTTTCCCTCGGCCTCCTCTTTCCCTCGGCCTTCCTCTTGCCCTCGGCCTCCTCTTCCCCTCGGCCTCCTCTTCCCCTCGGCCTCCTCTTCCCCTCGGCTCTTCCTCATCTTCGGCCCTCTCCCTCCTCTCTTCCCTTCGGCCTCCTCTTTTCCTTCGGCCCTCTTTCCTCGGCCTCCTCTTTCCTTCGGCCTTCTCTTTCCTCGGCCTCCTCTTCCCTCGGCCTCCTCTTTCCTTGGCCCACTCCCACTCGGCTTTCTTTTCCTTCCCCCCCTTCCCCTCGTCCTCTTTCCCTCGGCCTCCTGCGTTTCACTCGGCCTCCTCTTCCCCTCGGCCTCCTCTTTCCCTCGGCCTCCTCTTCCCTCTCCCGGGCCTCCTCTTCCCCTCGGCTCCCTCTTTCCCTCGGCCTCCTCTTTCCCTTCGGCCTCCTCTTTCCCTCGGCCTCCTCTTTCCCTCCTCCTCCTCTTTTCGGCCTCCTTCTTCCCTCGGCCTCTCTTTCCTTCGCCTTCTCCCCTCGGCCTCCTCTTCCCCTCGGCCTCCTCTTTCCCTTGGCCTCATCCTCCCCTCGGCCTCTCTTCCCTCGGCCTCTCTTCCCCTCCTCTCTTTTCTCTGCGCTCCTTTCCCCTCGGCTCTCTCTCTCGGGCCCCTCTTTCCCTCGGCTCTCTTTCCCTCGGCTCTCTTCCCTCGGCGCTTCTCTTCCCCTCGGCTCCTCTCCCTCGGCTCCTCTCCTCGGCCTT